CAATTTTTCGCTAATATATCACATAGTTGTGATAACCTTCGTCTTCTTATTACACTATCGAAATTTTTCGAAAACCTGTTTCTTTTAATTTGGTGACTGTAAGATTTTCGCAAAGTGCTTTTGTATTCGAAGGTATTTTCTTTTTACTTTTTAAGAAAGGTACTAAGTTCTTTAATTTTGTCTCTTTCCTCTGCATTTGATCTAACAGATACGAATTTTAATATGTTATGAATTGTAATAATAGTATCTGAGTGGTTAATTGTTTAGTCTTTCAATATTTCGTAAAATGATCTGAGTTAAACTCTTTTCGTTTTTTAAGAGCACATGCACTATTATATGGTTACAGATAATAAAGATTAATATAACTGAGAATTTGACCATGGTAATGATTGAATTCGTTAGGAGCATTACTGAAGATGTTTTAAAATAGCTTGTGTTTCGTCTTTTTAGGGATCATAGATGATGCGCGCCTCTAATCTTGCAAACAGTCATTTTCTGTCTTCCTGAGTTTAGATGTTATGCCTTCTATTGTTTGTCTTTATTTCATAACAGATGTGGTATATCTTACTGGCATGTTAATTAGCTTAGTAAACATCAAAATTAAGCAAGTGATATGAAGAGGAATTCGAAACTTATAGTTTTTCCATATGGTAAGTATCCTCTTTTCTCGCATTGTTCTACTCACATCAGATGTATTTGAATACTGTAGTGTTCTTAATGCTGCATAACAATTCGGCAAGTTTAATCTTTTCTATGTTCACACATTTTCTCTCGTCAGTTTGAGGATAAAGAATTTTCAAATGTTCAAATGTATAAGTAATTAGGCATTATTCAGAATGAAGTCGTGTTAGTCAGTGCAATCAATGTATGGTTAGGTTAGAATTAACTGTTATTTGTTTTTATGACCAGTCGGTTTTATAATGTTGGGATGAATATATAAATGTATTGATGCGAAAGATATTTACGTCAAACTGTCCATTTATTTCATATTTTTTGTAAAGTGTAATGAAGCGTTATTTTATCAATTATACTTAACCACTGATCACTTCGACCCTTATAAAAAATACTTTGAGACTTTACTCAAACTTCAGTGTTACGAAATCAATTCCAGACCTATCAACATAATTTTGAATTACTTTGTAGTCTTGGTGTACTCTGGAACTGATGATAAGATAAGTGACTTTACCTTCTCATTTGTACATCTTGATAAATTTGTGGAGATATAGTTTTTACTAAGATACAGACTATCAGTTTTATTTATCTACTAGGTTGACTCATATTATCTTTACACTGTGTCGAATACCAGTCATTATGTGTGTAAAGGGCTTTTTCAAATCAAAATGTCATATGTTTGATACATATTAAGAAAACCTAGTGTTTCTATACCTTTTAAGTGAGATTTATTACCTTTAAAAATAATTCATAAAATAAATGGAATGTTGCACGTATGTTAAGTATACAGTGGTCTGCTGACAGTAGGCTTTACTGTGCCATTATATATACATATATATGTCCCAGATTATGATGTACAGTGTATATAGTATGGCGTCGTTTGTTTTGTGATAAATAAATGACGCAATTTTTTATTGATAAAAGTAGTACCTAAAAAGAAGGAAACCCAAAAGTTCTCGAAGAATAAATGAATTACTTAAAGCAAAGCTGGAAGTAAAAGAAGTTTATTCTGCGACTGAATAAAAAAGACTGATAATATCACGTTCAGAATAATATCTGACTTACTACAGTGTAATGATTTATTAACACTGAAAAATGACCTCAGTTTTCTAAAGGATAACTACTTACCTAACTGATTGCTAGCTAAATTATTGTTCAAATTCTCAGTATAGAGGTCTCTAGAAACTGGTGGATGTTACTGAGATCACAAACATACTGAAATTAAAAAAACACTTTGAATACCTGGAAGCACTGAAAAGCTGCTTCATCTCACTGTGGGATTTTTCGGCAAGGCGCATCCATACTCTCACTCGGGCTCGGATTCAAGAACGTAACATTTAGATCACCGAGGCAGCATACTGTGATGTACATGTCTGACTCAAATCAACCTTCGTTACGGCACAATCATCTTGAATTGTCTGCTGAGGAGCCCTGTACTAGGATGATACTCATATTTAGTGCTTCGCGATTTTCAGTGGTTTTCTAAATTGGGCAGTTTAGTAATCTCAATAAACTCTCAGCGATACAAGGCAGAATTAGACAATTCCAATGATTAATTTAAAATCTTGGTACGGAGCGTTAAATCATAAGTTCATATTCTTAGAATAGCTTAAAGTTGCATGAGTCGTAATAATAACAATACATTAATATTATAACTGTTGTACACTCTTTTATTCCAAAAAACACTTTTTAACAAAAAGTTGACTGTTTCTATCAATTCTAGAATAATTTCCAACTTGTAAACATCGATCGTCAAAGATACTTTTAGTATACTTTCGGAGCACTAAAATAACATTGATTTGCTATAATTACCAAAAAACTGATTAAAACAATGAAGTGTCTAGTATTTTATGTTTATGTTATAGTTAGGCTAAAACTATTCAAGTTGGTCATTAGTTAAATGAATTATTATATCAGAATAAGGGATGAAATAGCTAGACAGGGATTTTCTGCTAATAATATGGTGATGTGATGCAATAAAAATTATCAATAAATGTTTTCATCATAGATATTGCTACCAGGTTATCGTTTTTTTAGTGGTATCCAGTGATAAAAACCACTGTTCAATTTATCCTATTGAGCATTAACTAAATGGCTGTAGTTGAGTTTCGATGACTGGTGTTCTCAACAAAATGTAAACCCGTAAACGCTCAAATAAGAAAGTTATAATTTCAAGATGGAAAACGTTTTAGCGCTCTATCCGTTATTGTTAGTCGGAATGATAAGTAAATGTGAAAAGATCCTTAGTAAGTATTCTAATATCATCATTAGGTTTATGATGTTCAAATTTATGCTATAATTTGATCTTTCTGTTAGTTATTGTACTAACATTAAAATTGACAGTAGGTGTCAGTGTAAACTGAGAAAATCATTGTTAACTCTGGTTGATTTTAAAGTGTTTTGTACACCCAGAGCAATCTTTTCCTTTCCGCTAAATTAAGAGTACATATTGTTCGAGTTCACGGTAACTGTTTAGTTGATAACCGAAATTTCTGTGTCATACATTAGAAAATTTCATCAAGGTAGTGATTCTCCTAATATTTTATTAGTTACATCACTACTTACTGCCTTTTCCATTTTATCGTTCTCTTTTACAGTATCTGTAGGTCTTGACGATGGTTTTATCTGTCATTATACTTAAGATAAATCCTAGTTTTATAAACAATTGTTAACTTACGGCTTTTATTCTCAACGGTATTCTGAACTGATCGACTACTATATATTTCTTTTACTTCACCGTTAATGTTCACTTTACCGGACTGGCATTCGGAATGAAAACATTTGCCGCTCGGAATCATTGCATTTTAAAAATGAAAATAACTGGATCTCTCTTAATTTTATGGCCGTACAAATGATCGATAAAACTATAAAAAAAGAGTCACTGCCTATCTTTTATTGGTAAATTTTGTGTATGATTGTAACGACACCATGATAAATAGTGGAAATATGTGATAATCATATTGGATCAGAAGGACTATGGGGCGTATTCAATGAAAAGTTATACTGTCTCTACAATTTTCATTTCAAGTGTATGCCTAAAAGATAATAAGCTGTTCGCCTTTACTATCAGAAATGAGTAGCAAAAAGGATAACCTATTCATTTTAGTTATAGGGTTAGAGAATGTCTTATGAAATCATAATAAACGGAAGAAAAATTACCGTTGCTCGCTGTGCCGAACTTGCAAGAAAGATGGCTTTCAATTGGATAACATTTGATTTACAATATTTATTATATATACTGATGTTTTCTAGTCACTAATATCTTTAAACTTGTCCAAATTGTCAAATATAACAGTAGCGCGATTGGAGTGAATGCCGAATTCGACTATATACATTGTTCTGATACCTAATTATTAAAGCATTTATTGTTCAGTTATTGCTATTTTTCGTAAATCTTCCTTGTTCGTAACTATAGTAGGACCAATTTCAGCTCCGCTTCATTAAATATGTTTATAACACACTACTCAAAAGCTACTGTAGTCATATTTCTGATGAACTAACAGAACACACAGAAAGAATTATTCCTTGATGATAGAATTAAGGAATGATGCAGAAGTTTGATAATATGAAAATCTGTTTCAAATTTTCGAATGATTTATGCTTTTTATTATAATACGACCAATTGTTTTATTGATGATTGGGTTTCAGTTCATGCTGTGTAACGTCACGTACATAACGCTGTTTAGTATGATAACATTGCAAAGATGTTTATGTCGGGCCGATGAATGAAGTAAAATTTGACGAATAAATGTGAATCATAAACTATTAAAGTTGATATTTATTTAACTATGAGAAGTGGAAAGTAAATAATAAAGTACTTCTCACTTTGATTAACCACTGAATATGAAATTGTTTGTTATGTTCTACAGTCACAACTTTCAAGTCATCCTTAAAGTCCAGAAATGTATTCTGAAATCAGTTCACTTAAGCAGTGACATGTTATCTTTCCATCTGTCTGACGTTGGATGCTCATTGTAAGTGACTTTTCCTATCTTTGTTAAAATAAGGATTGTAAAAAGAAAGTAGAAACTAATGGTGAATGATTTGATTTCAAAAGAATCAAGGAGATGATAAATGAATGCTGAATTATAAATAAATATCTAACTATTTTTAACTCCTGTTTGTCTAATTAATAAATGAGAATAGCAATGAAAGTACAAACGTGAGAAAACGGATTTATTATTCAATCTCTTCTCCATTAAATATCTGTTTATAAGACAATTACATAGATAAATTATTTGAAAAGTGGTAGGATTATTTAACTTGCTTTCTCATTTTTCATCATTATTATAGCCAGAAAATGAGGACAGACTGAAACAATTACAGTTAATGGAATTGGCTGTTCTAAATGGTATGACATGGTTTGTTGTGTAATCTTTCTACTTTTGAGTGTTATTCTGTGTCGGTATGCTTCTACTCCGCCGATAAAACATTTACCAATAATTAGTAATTGAACTAACTGCCTATGATTATTTAAATCTAATCAAAAATTATAACAAACTAATTATATTGCTATACTAACATTAGCTAGTTAATTGATTAGTTGAGTTGTGTTTTTGTAATGTATGTATGTTTGGTGGTTATACTCATATAATGAGATCATGTTTATCCATGTGCATTAAACAAAGAAAACACACTTTGGTGCTTCATTTTTTAGTAAGTTTACTATCTTGCTAATATTGTTTGGAAGAAGACTGAGATACCATTTCCATTGCTAATACAACCATTGTCCATTTCTTTGTATGTTTGTATTTGTTTGTTTGTGTAATGGTCTCAACTAGTTCTGTTTTCATCATGCAGTCATTTATTACTACATCTGTCTCTGTTTAAATTTGTATGCGTGTAAATCAGCTTGCGTGAGTAGTTAGAGCAGAGTTTATTGTTTCTTATTGTTTCTTTTGATGCATTGATAACTATTGCGGTATGATTAATGAAGAATTTAACGCTATAAATGTGTAACTTCATGCGTTTGTGTCAGCGCATAGTGCTTCGCTTATCCTTTTAATAATAATACAAATGCTTATATGTGCTCTTATGTGTGTGGGTATTATGTATTTATAAATGAATAGATGATACTTCAAATATTTTGTTTAAATTTCACCTACCATTCATGTATACATGTGAGCAGTCCTTAAATATATATATATATATATATATATATATATATATATATATATATATTAGTGTTTTCGGTGCACACTGTCATTTTTATTGCTTTCATTTTATGTTTTATCTGAAAATTCACGTGCTTAAAAACAGTTTGTTTTTATTCTTTGCATTTTACTAACCTATACATGTACTGTAACTGCATAACAGTATGTGTTTTCACCACATTCATTAACGTTCACAATTCTCCTTTTGTCATCAGTTTCATCTAGAAGCAGCTAGTTTAATCAAAGCATATTTATATTGGACTATTTTTTTGTGATTGCGTCATAGCTGTATAGTAATACTAAAATTCCTAATTAAAGTGCACTTATTCAACATTTAAAACAATTTCTACCACTATGGTACTTTTGTTTAGTCTACTGGAAATACAACAGAATTTAAAACGAGTGAGGAAAGGAAAATGATAATAATGGTTACCAACTTATCAAAATCCCAAAGGGTATAATTAAGATAATGAGTTTTATTTTGTTTAAGAACCCAAGAATTTGTGTATAATAAAGTCAGTAAAATTCTTATTGAAAAATAGACTATAGTAAGTTTTGCACACAGTTATTAAAGTCAATTTCATCCAACGTGGATGACAGTTTAGTGTTAAGACCATTATCGCTCAGCGAAACATTAAATTACTAATATTGATCAGTAGTATTTATTACTGTCGTTCGTTGTATGTGTTTTTCAGAATACTTTTATGTACAGAATGTTTGGATAAATTAAATCTATGATCTACCAATTGTCTCACATGATGACCATTTGCTTCAGAACATTAACAATTTTCTGGTGAAAATTGCTATCACCTATTCCTGTTCACTTCAATAGTTTACCAACACTTTCGTTTGAAATTCCCGGACATTTTTGTTTTGGTTATTACCAGTTTATTGTTTGAAGCGCTTCCTACGAGTAATGCTAAATTTGGTTACTCGGAATTATGAAAGTTGAATTGCTTGAGTTTATCTTTTGAATATTTCACATACATATTCACACGTGAAAAACAAATTATGATAACACGTGGTCCGATCAAAGAAATGTAATTTCTATTTTGAGTTTACTAACATTGAGACATGAATGTGTTATTACCAGTAAATCAATCAGAATTATAAGATATCTTTTTGCATCAACTGTTTTCCATATTTTATCCTCTCGGATACAAACATACTAAATGTTCCCATCATTTTAGGAAAACATGTGACTTCGTTGGTACACATTTAGTCTATTGTTACCACCTTTAAAGTTTAAATAAATACTATAAGATTTTGTTTAACTGTTTTCGATTAATCTTTCTGTTAAGCAATTAGATTGCTTAGAGTAATGTTCCATTTTATTGTCTGTTATAAACTATGGATGTCATGAAAATATTGGGTCTTTTCTACATTTCAAGATTTCTAAACTCCATTTCCTACCGTTTATCTCAGAGAAGTTAAAGCACCTTTATCTAGTTATATTTAACTCGGACTGATAGTGGGTTGTACAACAAAACGGCTTCAAGGTAACACCTGGTAATGTGATAGAAAGGTCTTAGTTATCTATAAGACTGCAGCTTCATGTTGGTGAATATATGGTCAGTGATTTATGGATAACTTACTGACATTGCCAAGTTTAGCCAGGATTTTAACCAGACAATTAAATGTTTATGCTACTTCACAAACTGTAGCTTTTGTGACCAAAGTGGTTACAGCTTGTTAGCTGTAGTTGCAGACACCTTTTATAATTTCTATCTAACTGGGGATATATGGAATGAATTTCTAAATTTCATCTTTCAAAGTCTAGCTTCAGTGGTTTCACTACTCTGTCAGTCAGTATCTTCATCAAGTTACTGGAAAGAACCTAGATATGTCATTGGCATTGGTGAATCGGAATTCGGTAAAGCCTAAAAAAACTACTATTTGTGTAAAAAATCTAGTACCACATGATAAATATTCACGTGCTAAGTTTATTGATTTTTTAAATTCCTACTACAACAGTTATAAACAACAGAAAAAATGTAAAATAACTGTGCTACCATGAGGCACAACTTGAAATACGAGAAAAATAGAACAGCGAAACAATGACCAGTCCCAGTTATTAGATATTGTCATATGTTCTGTTTATCATTTCATCCGTTATTTGTGTAAGTATGCATTAATCGAATTATGAAGTTTTCTGGAATTTTTCTCAATTACACTGAAGCATTTTATTTTGCAACATCTATAGAAATAAAAGCGATTACACTGATCAGGTTAGTTACTTAAAAAACGGTAGACAGTATTTTGTATATATATATATATATATATATATATATACCCGTAAACGTTGGTTATCCATATTAGGTTCTTCAAAGTCTTCTGTATAGAAATTGACTTGTGTTTTACTTGTGTTATTTGTTTGCTTTAAAACATATAAAGTAACAATAATTGATGACTGCATGATAAATAATGTAATCCGCTTTTCCGGTTTCTATGAGTGAGTTTTATTTCTGCCTAAAATAGTTAATATATGCACTCCTGAGAGCAATGAAATGCTGGGTGCTGTCTTTACTTGGGATTTAATGATATTTCTTCTTTCTCACATGTAGTAAGAACAACACTATATTCAGTAATACCTTTAAACATTTGAGGATGCTAGTTTGCATCATCTGCATCATCATTGAGCACCACTTTAATTATTCCTCCTTTTTTAAGAGATACTATTCTTTTGCTAAAAGTGTATGCTGAATAATTCTTATTATTATTCTATGTGGTCGGTTTCAATAAATAATAATCATGGTAACTAACACTGAATCACAAATTCTTTGATAGCAAAATGCTGTTCGGTGTGGACAAATGATTTTTTTCCCGGTGACAACAATACAAAATGTGGTTTTTTTATGGTGGTGCCAAAATTCTATTAATACTATTCATATTTTATTTTTCATTTTCAATTTGAAAAAAATAAAAGATAAGGGTATTTTGAAATCGTATTGAGTCTGAAAATATGTCAATTGTATTCTCGAACGTCAAATAATTGGTAATTACTTTTATCCTAGGAGCTCCATCGTTTCTTCGTAATGTTTTCATATTTGTATATGATAATCTTTCACGTAAAGTTTTGTGTTAGTTTCTACTTACTCTTAAAGAATTGTACCACATATTGTATTGTACACATATTTTAATCATAACTTGCAATCATAGAGCTGAAATGCCGTTTCCTTATCTAGAATGATGAACCTGATTAAGATCACTTCATATATCGATTTCTAAACTTACACTTTCACATAAAATCATTCAATAAGACTTGGAAAATAGTTTAATTCTGAATGGATTAAATTATGAGTCTATAGTTTATGTATTTCTGGAGTGATGATGCTCAAAAATAAAATAGCTAAAGTGCTCTAATTTCAGATGACACTACTAACCATTAGATAATAAATCATTAATTTAGCAATAATTACACTAAATTCACACGACTTAATTCTATTAGTCAGTTTTATTATACAAATTCATCAAGTACTAACGAATGATATTTAGAAATAATAAAAAATAAGCTAATTTTAAGCGTCTATAGACCTTAATGCTAAGTTTGGAAACATTAAAAAGTTTTGATAATACATTAGTATATCCGTCAGTCATCAGGTGAATGGCTCATATTAACTCCCTCTCATTTTTATTTCACTCCGCACGAATAAATAACTCAGTGAAATATCTCATTTTGTTTCCGTTGACCTGAGTTTATAATTCACTTATTAATGACAAACGTCTTCACTGTTTAATTTTAAACTTCATTTCTTTATTACAGACAAGAATATGAGCCTGCTTATTTACTCGTTTATGCATAACTGGACTTATATAGACACAGAAATATGTTATCTGCCATTTTGTTTACTGGCAGACAAAAGCAAAAGCTTATAGATGATATTGAATTGATGTATTCTAATTATAATGTAGAGGTCAAAAATTTGATTTTCTTAGTTTTTATGCTTTTCATGTTATTGGTTATTTTTCTTTTTCATTGTTTTCGTTTGGTATTTCTCTTACTTTCTAGTTCAATTGTCCTGATTTATTTATTTTTATAAGTTAAGTTTACTCTTGGACATTTTTTTGTCGTATTCTTAGTTGTTCAATTATTTCACAAACGTCTAAACATTGTTTAGAAAGTTTGTTTATGAAGTCTTAGATCTATTAGAGTAGAATTGATTATAGGTAGTAGTGCATCTGAAATAATTTTATAAGTAAGCTGTTACTCAATGTTAAATTTTCAGTGTATTTGTTCAAATGTATTTACACTGATCAAAATGAACACATTCTTCAGTGGTTATACTTCCTGTTTGTTAGGAAATAATAATAATATTCTAGATTTTGTGAGCTGTGGGTTAGTGGTTAAGTCAATTAAATTTCAGCTACTAAGTCTCGGGTCGAAACCTTGCTCAGTCTGTTTCAGTTTGGGGAACCAGATAATACCGTTAGCCTTCATACTTAGAGTATATGGCTCATATATAAGTATCTGGTGAATAAGTTAACTACTTTATTACTTTCGTGAATGAAAATTGTGTTTAATAGTATATTATAAATAAATTATATATATATATATATATATAAACTAAATTACCAATAGTCTATATAAAACATTAATATATACATATATTAGTTTGTTTGGGTTTTTTATTACAGCAACTTTTTATTTGCCGCCTATTCTATAGTGAAATTTATGATTTAGAAATAAGGTGCATATTAATTTTCCGTGCTACGACTGCTATTTAGAGAGCTATTACAGTGTATCGATAAAAGACTGATAATTTGATATCTGATATTCAATGTGATGAGTTATAAAAAGCACGCCTTGTAGATTTGCAAGTGTTGTGGGCTGGGTTACTTATATTCAAATAAGTAGTATATGGTGATGGTCAGGCAAAGAATGTATTTTACTAGGAGATCGATAAGGAAAGAACGGAAACGAAAGGCAATTGGTATGAAAATGTATGAACAATAATAACCGGGGTCTATGGACTGATATTTGCAGAAGGAATGGTCGAAATTGAGACAATTGATTGATAGTTTGCAAATTAACATTGAGTAAACTACAACTAGCAATCCTCGTTAAACATATATTTGCAACTATAAGATATAATCATCCGTTTCATACATGTGTTTGTCTTGTTTCTCTAAGACGTATTTCTCAAAGTTTTTCAAGCTTTCTAAAGAATATTGGTTTAATTACTATTAAGGTGAAGGAAAACTAGTTTTTTCTCTAAACTATTTTCGTGTAAAACACGTTTGTTTGTTTTACTATGAAACGTATCAGTGAATACGTTAGTAGGAAATAAAACAAAAAATATTTATAAGTTACATATGACAGTTATGCGATTTTTGTCTCATTTAAGTATACTGATATTGTAATAGTTTTGAACGAGTTCCACAATTATCTTGATTTTAGTCAATGATTTCATGAATTATTTTAATGAACTGTTCTACGAAGACAACTTTAGCTACAACAGTGGATGAATCCTATTCTCATTCAGGCCCTTGGTCGTCCCTTGTGTGTTGTTTCTTGAGGTCCATTCAGAAACATAGGTCTTTGAATTTCGAGGAAATTCCTTCTATAATGAGAAATCGATCGTATCCGTATTATAAGTGAAAACAACAAACATATTGAAATTTGTATTTACTTACTCGAATCGGTTGCATTTTCAGTCAATATTTAATTCTAGTTATCAGAGAGACTTTTAAAACTTTCCACTGATAATATTTCTGGTTTTTTCTTTATTCCAAAAATTATATAAGCCTGATGGGGAAGATCAGGTGAAGAAACGCCAGCTTATGGAATTAGCAATTATCAATGGTACATATCGAGCTGTGAATCAACGTTCCATTTTCTTCCCTTCAACAAATTTAGCAAGTGAATTACCTTTGAGAGATGAGGATTTACACCAACAATATATAAATGGACATGTGATAAGGTGTTCTCACAGTCCGATCGATAATTCAGACATAGTGTCCAATCGTGAGTGATAAAGTGCATGCGTTGGAAAATATCTGTGCCATCGTTTGTTGTTCGTTTTGTTATTTTTTGTGTAGGACTGGAGAGATTTATCTCGTAGTTGGTGTTGGTTAAGGGTGCATGCGTCACTGTAGTAATTTTGTACACCTTGAGTTGTTTGTCATCATTTCGGTAATTGGCTTTCATTTTATGTTTTTAACTCACTTGCATGATTTGGAATGTTTGCAATACCTAATTAATAATATCAAACGCTTCTTCCTTAATGGTTAGGTACTGGTTATTGATCAAACTTGATTTCATTTTCCAAATACCAAGATGATCAAATAGTCGTAAGTATCTCAGATTTCATAGGGCTTTATAGTGATTTAAAGGTGATCCCTGAAGTCCCATAAAATTATAGTTTGCTAACGGACCGTTGACATTGATTCAGGTTTTGATTTATAATTTCATCGATATTTCTCTTAGACTTTTTATCAGATTGGAATGCTTTCATTCTCGTGATTCAAAAATTGATTCTCATTGTGGGATTTACAAATTTCATTCAAGCCCAAGCTGGCTATTCAAAGCTAATAAATTATCAAGCCCTACAATCTAACAGATTTTCTTTCTACTCTTATTCTTAATAATAATGTGCTGAGTATCCCATTGGTAGTTCGAATACGAATGCATAATAAAGTCGAAATTAATAGAAACTAGAATATGAAAATGTGAAAATTTACATTCAGGGATTTTCAAATTTTTTTAATTAGTATGAAGCAGTTTTCATTTCCCTCATTTTATTCTTGTTCCGATCTTCGAAATCCTGCTATCACTGTTTGATAACCATTAGTTTTCATAGTTTAGACACGAATAGATCTTAGTTAGACCAATACTAGAAATCTAGAATTACCAAAAGGGAGACTTTTATTAGTGTGGGATTCCTCAGTAGTGCACATTCATAACTCTGCATCCGAGAATCCAGCCCAGGACTGACTGAAGTTAGACAATAACACCGTTGGATACTAGCTCAAAGGTCTATTGGTTGAGCGTTCGCATGCAAGACCGAAGGTCCTGGGTTTGACTCTTACACACAAAGTAATGCATCTCCACTGCTAAGGCGTCACATTATAAGACTAAAATGCCATCCAGTGACTCTAGATTCTCGATGGTGGTCTAACTAGTATCAGTTCGTGATTTGAACTATGAAAATATCCATAAGCTTATCAGACCAAACGACACACCCTGATTCTAACTAACGAAATATTAAATTATGAAGAAAGTGATTTTTTTAACTTCCTCTTTCCGACAAAAATAAAAATGACTTAATTCCGGTAATATATAGCTAACACTTTTGAAATCTCAATTTTAATAGTTCAACTGTTCAAAAATGTTTAATCGCACTTATATAAATTCGGAAACACTGTACTCATTGCTGTATTTGTGAATATGGTACATATGATATTGACCCACTTATACACTTTAAAATGTTCACGGTTCGTTGTACAAAAAATTATTTCATTTAAAAAAGTTTACAAAATTGATCCAAATGAAGAAAAAACTGTAAGAAGTACTTAGAATACAATAATACTGAGAACACTATTAACATGAAGTTGGTAATTTTCTTCAAATAACGCAAGTTCTTATTTTGGTGATTCTAGAATTAACCAACTTATCATCTATGATCATAAGTCAAATGAAGCTAGACCACCATGGAAAACCTGGAAGCACTGGATGGCCTCATGATCTTAACTATAAAATACTAAAATCTCCACGAAAACCCCCTCTGATAATTATCATCTATGAGGTAAACATATATTGGATATTTTTCTAGATGCTTTAAATCACTATAAAATTCAAGTCAGTCATTTGAGTAGTGAAAACAATTTGTAAACATAATTCATGATTGTGTTTATCAACATATTCAGCTCGAAATTATACTATTTATCCTTAGAAGTGATCTGACTAGTCAACTGATGAATACTAACTTTTGATGTGTTTATAAATTAAAATGAAGTGTGCAGCCCATAAGATGAACAGTAAAGCGTTGGTTTACAAAAACATTTTCATTTGTTCAGTTTATACATTCACTAGGCGACATATTTTCACAGTTCAAAAGGCTTCAGAAGAAGTTTTCTTCTAAATATAATAATAAAGTGTATTTTCATTTATGACAGTTATCCATACGTTTTCTTGCAGGTAAATACAGAATAATTTTTTAATCTTTTTATTGTACTGCCTTGAATAATATTTGATATCTGATGATTTGGTATTCTGCTAGTCACAATGAATCACAGATCATTTTCCTTTCATCTGTATTTTTGATTTCAAAAGATGTAAACATATTCGGAAAGTAGGTTTTTATATTGTCTCAAAGAATGGTTTGTACGGTATTATTGTGATTCCATTTCATGTTTTATTTGGTTTTGTCTAACTGGTAGTAAAATTGAGATAAGCTGGAGGACGACTGAAGAACAACAACCATATTTTGAGATTATGTGGTAGTGGCCACTCATGATTATACAAAGAACTGAATTAGAAATCACCCTAAAGGATAAGGTTATTCTCTAGTATCAAGTATTTATCATGTTTCAACATCAGTCACTTAACAATATATGATAACCACTTAAAGCTTATGGTGACTAATCAAATCATTTGTAAATGAAACTTCTCATCGAAACCTTAAGGCATCTATATGGAAGCTGGGTACCAGGAAGGTATTGATTAGTGTTTGTTTGTGCAGTTTATGAAGATTTCTGTTGTTTGACGATAACGTTCATCCCGTATTGCTATAAGCTTGAAAAGTATTAGAAAAATCCTTTTTAGAAGACCCACGTAGCCACTGCTCAGTTATAATCCTGATAATTAGTGAACGATCCTTTTAATTTGTTTAAAGTGTATAAGCGCTTGTTTTTAACAGCGTAGTCGAGATGACAATGTCCATGATTAAAAATTTTGCTTATTGTTTGTAATAAAATATCTAATTACGGGGTTTGTTCTATTGACGCTTAAAGCTTTAGGTTACTTTACATCGTCGATGTATAGACTGGTGAAACTTTTGAAATGAGGATTCGAACTAAAAAGGCCGATTAACTATTGTTCCCACTTTAAAACTTATATAAACGTATTAATATTGAACTTAAATTCAGGTTATAATGTTTTGTGGGAAAGTTTTAATTTATTCTCTGCATCATGTTGCACATATCATCAACTGTTTGTAAGTGGGTGATCGTTATTTGTACTTGGGTCACATTGTTTATAGTAATATTCATCAAAACTGAACAAATATTTTGACAAAAATTAGGCATCAAGTATAAAGGAGACGTGAAGAGTAGAAATTATATTTGATCTGTCCTACCGATTAAAATTCAAATAGTTTCAATGTTCCTCCTGGCAATCTAGTTCGAACTTCACAGAAAATGAACGATTATTGCAACCATTTGGATTTTGGTAGCTGAGATTATTCAAATTTAATTCCAACTAATTTTATTTCTCCTACAATATATATATATATAATGCACGTTTAAATAAATCATGTTTTTGGATAATTCTAAGATTTTGAAATTTTGAAAAACAACACATCATCCTGATATTGATATCTGACCCAAAATTAGCTATTAAAAATGATTCCAGTAAAACTGTTTGGTCAAGGGACTTAACTACGAGGCCATAACCTTAATGGTAATGGGCTTTGGATTATATTTCAGTGAATATGTTTGAGACAATTGATAGTTTAGAAAGATGTTCTGGGTAAAGGTCTAGTTAGTAACTTCATTTAGGTTTTGAATGATTAAAAGAAATATGGGATATAGTCTCGTTAAAAACGATATTAAGAACGACGTCGTACGACATTCACTGAACTATATTATCGCACAAACTGTTTAGTACTTGATATTTATAAAAAAGGTAACATTACTAGAAGAAAGTATCTAATAAATGACTTGTTCAGTAAAAGCTGAATGGAATTTCAAAATTTGTCCAAAAAGCGGACTTACTGAAAACAAATTAGTATATTATCACTTGTAAAATAGAACGCTTAGTCAAGAAAATGAAGTTGAAACTATGATTAAACCTTAGGGTTCCTGTTATTGGAATAAAAGGAAATGAAATAAACCATTTCTAGGTTTGTAGTTAACAGCTGTAGTAATTAGCTAATTTGATAAATTAGTTGAATTTTCATTTCACTTCCGAAAGTTTGGTTGAAACGAATGATATAATGTTGGAATTATTGTAACAACTTATATATGTGTGTAAGTGACAGAACAAAATACATTTTCACAAACATTTTGTGAATTTTTCGATTGAGTAAAAAATGATACTATGTTAGTGTGGAATAAGTCATGAAGTTGTGTAGTATTTCCAAGTGTGAGCTTGTCAATATAACCATTATGCACTAATATCTAAAGTTTATTCATCTTGATTTATGTTTTTGTCTGTGATCTAAGATAATGAAGTGAACAGAGATGAACATTATTGTACAATGAGATAATTGATTTAATTTTCATTAATAAGTGACCCTGAATACTTGCAGCTGGATATTTCCTTTTGTTTGTATCATTGATATATGTTTTTGCATAATTTTAACTTTATCTAATAGCTGCTGAAAATGGCGAGGTCCATCTCCATGTTAAAAAACTGTAATTTATTTTTACTCTTTACTGCCTGATCGAATCATGTGAATATTGAAAAGATGTGTTGTGTAACCAGATGATAATCCGTAATATTGGTTTCTTATAATTTTAAATCATTTGTTAAAATAGTTTCATAATTTGATGGTAATACTAGCTAAGATTTATTCACAACTTTTTTTCAATTAATTAAGCCATGGCTAGTTCTAGTAGTAATTATTATGCTAATGAACGTCGGCAACATCAGTTAATCAACTTGTATTTTATTGATTCTTTGAAATACTATTAAAGGGTATAAAAAAATACTTTGTTACCTGCTCATTCTGTCTTCCTGTAATTTCAGCACTAAAAAATTTATTACTGAAGGCTTTTATTTAAAAAGTATACTATTTCATAGCTAATTAAAATGGTTACGCTTTCTCATTATTATTTATGGAAACCAATGGTATTTTATTGTCTTAAAAAACACCTATAATAATGCGCTGCATTTTTAAGAATAATTAAAACGAGATAAAAATGCATAAATTATAATCACAAGTGAAGAATATATTGACGCAGAATACAGCCGTTTTTTAATCGAATTAAACATTCATCAATATCATTTTCACAATGGTGTTATGTATGGTGATTTATTTGATAAGGGTGTCTAAAACTAGCCTGATGATTAGAGGATTTTGCATGTGTTTAACGTTTTCAAACCGCTATCTAACCTTTTTACACTGATGGTTATTATGCAATTGTTTCTTCTTTTCTGACGTTTTTCATTGCTGTCGTAAAAACACGAGTTCTGTGAAGTCACTTTGTGTGTATAATTTAATAGGTTTAATTAATTGAATTAAGTATATGTATGCTTAGAGTGACAGCTTTAATTGATAATATTTTGCTTTTAACTTCAGATAAAGATCGTCAGCAAGCACATATTCAACAAGTTCAACAACATCAACAGCTCATATTACAACATCAGTCACTTACTGTATTAAATCATCAAGCGGCTGCAGCAGCGGCAGCTGCAGCAGCTGCAGCTCAAATGTTACCATCAAATAAATATTCTTCAAGTAATATTTTACCTCAGATTCAGTCTCAGGTACTTCCTGGATCACTGACAACAAACTGTTTACTTCCTGGAACAGTGAATTCTGCATTATCTCAAGCTAATTCAATACATTCCATTCCGAATAATCAATTGTCTCATTCTATCCCATCTCTTAGCTCAGCGAATTTATCTACGTATTTACCAAATAATAATATATCCGGACTTTTATATCCTTTGACGGCAAATGCAGCTTTATCTGCATCCGTTAGTACAGGATCAGCTACAAATAATGGACAACTTAATCTAACTCTTCCTTTAAGCCAAATCGCTAGCGGTATTACTGGGAATGGACTTTCTGGTTTATCCTTGCCAATTGGTTCTACGTTGCATGCAGCCAGTAAGTTATTGGAAAAACGAATCAATTCTGTCTGTTAATCTAAGTTTAGTGATGGTTAGATCACTATACAGCATTTCTAGACCGTGAAACTCAAACTTCATAATCTCGATTCTTGATAACATCTGGGATCTGGACTGTTCAAATAAATCGCAACTACATGTAAACAGCATTTTAGTACATCTTGATAGTTAATAACGTTGCCAAAAAGGGGATTACAATCTGAGCGAAGGTTAGCCTATTAGCGTCACTTAGTCAAGATGAGAAAGTGTTGTGATATACTTCACTCAAATTACGCATATTTATTTTCTCCATTCGGTTTTTAATGATAAAATGTAAGAGCTCACTTTTTGGCTTTTGTAAGCTATCAGAGCGTACAATTTTGTATTGTTTCGCTTTTCCAACTGTAAATTTGATATTTAAGATCAACTTCGTTGAACCGAATTATGCTTATTTTCCATAAAATAATTTACATTATGCTACAGTTGCTTACTTTTGCAAAGTATAAAGACGTCAGATAATATATGGGTATAGCCACTACTGACGACATCATAACGTTTTTATTAATGGTCTTTTAGAAACAATAACTAAAGGTTTGGTTTCAGTGGTTTAAAACATCGTATAAAAAAATAAACACTTCGTCCTCCCCAATATGTAAAAGCGAATAAAATATACATTCTTTCCGTAAAATAGTTGATTGTATTTCCGATTCACAATTATGAATATAGTAATTTTAAATTTATATTTCTTACTGATATAAGTACAAGTAATGTTAAAATCTTTTTCGGCGTATGATTCTGTTCATTTAAAGGCCATGACCAGTTAGCTGCTGTTGCAGCTGCTCTCCTTAGTGGAAGTGGAGCAGGAGGTATTGGTGCAAGCAATTCAAATTTACAGTTATGCAATGGTAACGTGAATAATCCTGTATCTAATATAAACTCAGGTGCTCATAGTTACCCTATCACTTCACATACATCACTTGCAGATGCTGTAAATATTCTGGAATTCAACAGCGCATCAAATACACAAGACAATGGTTCAGGTAGTTTTAAGTTTAAACTTACTTCCTCAAAGATAACATTATCTATTAAAATATATGTTTTTAAATTTATGTAAAGCTTTTACCAATGCACTTGGTCAACTTTGAGATTCTTAGTATTTGTCTCAGTTCAATCTTGAACTTTTGCAGATATAAGTAAAGTCGTTTAGGATGTGTATAAGTCGGATGTACTAATCCGCAATTATTTCGTAGGATATTACCGTAGTTTAGTAAAGGAATAGGATTATAGTCACTTACATATGACAGGTTAATCCCTGAAGTAACTTCTGGTCTTTTCAATAAGTTCAAATGCATAGTAACGTTAACAGAAACAATGTTTACAGAACTGGTATAATGGAGTCAGGAGCAAAATTAGTGAAAATAAAACACCTACTATTAGTGTTAACAAATTTGGATCATCTATTAAGGAAACGCCAAATTCATTTAGTAATAAAAATTATACTACAACAAAGAAAATTACGTTTTTGACTATGTAATTTTTTGAAGCTCCACAATTGTATTTATAATTATTATAAACAGATCACAGTCTATTATTGAACAATGGATTAGGATTGGGTTATTGTCTAAGTGTTCAAGTACCATAACGAGCAGAAAACAGACCAAATTTGAAGTGCTAAAGCTTTTGGATGTTCAGTGGCCTTCGGGTATGATTCCATGCCAATAAGTCATACTGTATGTAATTGTTTATTTTGCCCTATACTTTGATGTACAAGTGTGTTATCTAAGTAGGAACAAGTTTAAGCTGGTCAGTTGATCTTTGTAAAATACGTTAATTATAGAGTTTTGCTTGAATAATTTAATTTTTTACGTACATTCATTCAAATACTTCAAATTTCATCGCGCATTCATTAACTCATAATTAAACGCCAGTTATTATTATTATTATTATTATTATTAATGGCTTTATTCAATATTATAATCTGGTACAATATAGAATCCTCAGCACGAGTTATTTCAACAAGTTTTTTTTTACCAAAAAAACAACAGAAAACGAATAAAAAAGTTTTAAGAAAAAAAACTGATTTTATACAAATTATCAAATTTGAAACAAGCTTAAGAAGACAGGTTATTTACTAGGTCAACTCTAACAGCCTGTTCGTCACAAAGTAAATTTGCTAAGTAAGGTATTACAGAACTTTTATAGACTTGCTTGCGTGTATGGATTTTAATGTATTTACGTCTCGTTCTACCAGAAGATATACAAGGAGAAAGATATGAATGAAGCGGATGGTTAGTATCTGATAAGATAACACCTGCCAAGAGTATGGAAGACTTAAGATGTCTATCCACAAGCATATTAATAATGACTTCAAAAGATTCACCACATACCTTGCAAACCCCCTTCAGCACTCTACGCAAAACAGCAAAGTCTTTTCTCAAACTTTTTTGGATAAGAGTAAAACATGAGAAGACCAAGAAAGATTAGAGGAAAAAATGACACCAAGATATTTGACCTCCGACACTGTGTTTATTAATGAGTCTCCAATGGCACAAGCATTATGGGATCCCAAAATAGAGTATAGGTTCTGTCCATGTTTCAAGCTAAAGTTAACAGCTTGACATTTAGATGGATTGAGTAAGAGACCATTACCAACAGACCACCTTTCAATACGAGATGAAAACTCATTCATTTCTATGGGATGTAAGGAAGTAGAAATCGGCATACATACAGTGAGGTCGTCCGCATATTTTACAAAAGTGTTATATCTAATGATTAAGTCAAGAAGCAGTTGTCAGAATTTCAGTTTGAATAGATGAAAGTTTCTTCCGACCAATCGTTACTGTTACAGTTAAAACTTGAAAAGAAAGTTTATTATACAAAATTGAATTTGTTTATACAATGGATTATAAGTTAAGGTCATCAATTCAAAAATTACGTTGTCTAAGGAACTGGAAGTTGTTTCCAGATGCGTAATATCATAGTAAATATCAACATGATGGAATTAGAGAAGACGATCTAAGAAATATTTCTACGTTGAAACCATTATTAGTAATTATAAAACTGATAGAAATAGAGGTTGAATTTCTGGAAATTAAGTGGTCAGAGATGTACTGTATGCATAAATTACCGGATTTAATTCACGCGTCACTGTTATATACATGCTACTGGCTAGGATCTTTTTGTTTGATTTTGTAATATTCTGTAAAGGGTACTTATTGAGCTTTATGCAAATAACAACATTGATAAGTACAGGAAACTATACTTTTGAAGTAATTTTCCAAATTATTTATTTACACCTGTTACTGCATATTATTTAAAAATGTCAACCCACCATGTTTTGTAGGACCACTTAAATTACGTTCCTTGCAAGCCACATCATCCACGGTTTCTAGAATGCATCCATACCTAAGACAATAATCAATGAGTAAGTTGTTTATTAATTTTTTGGCCTTGTTTGAAAATTTTTCTCATAGGATTTAGTGAATTCTACTTTTCCTTCTTCAGACGCAATCTATTTTCACGTGCTCAAAAAGATGCATTGACGGCCTTTTTTTTATATTCATGAATTTACGTATAAATAGCGTGAAACTTTTGGTAGTAGGAAATAAGTAAATTAAGAGTAAAAAGAAAATGCAGTGAGTCACTACATCAAGTTAACTTGTTTCAGTTATTTCGTTCATCGACCTTGATTACTGCTGTCGGTTCTACGTTATTGTTACGATGATAATTAATATAACTTATTCTTAGTCAAACAGTGTAAATTAGCAATGGGGTTTGTCTGGATCGTTGATATAAATTGGCTTACATGGTAAAAGAACCGTTTTCAATCATGAAAAAAATATCTTATTAACAAGCATTTGATAGATATAGGCAAAACGTCTCTACATAGAAAAGTGTTTTAGCGATTCGCCATATTTCAGGCACAAAACGTATTAAATGAGTGCGTTCGTAGAATTATGCTGGTTTGTGCCATGTGATACTGTTGGTGTTTAATGATAAACTATTCAATGTTTAAGCACAAAACTAGTGAAAAAACTCCTTATTATTGTCCTGATTATCAATCGTAGGTAAACTAATACCGATTATTTGTATTTATTAATGTTTTTGAATTCACAGAATTGATTAAAACTGTCAATCGTGGAAACAGTTTATATATGACTAATATATAGCCATTTGTTATACTAAATATTCTGCTTTATTTTGCTTTTTCGATAAATAGATGACGTCACCGCTGCAAATAACACAGAATTTGCTTGTATCCATGACAAATAGCAGCTGTTAATTATTGTGATTTTTCATTTACCAGCAGGCTTTCACTAAATAATCAAAAACAGTTTAAGTGCTTTCGTATCACAAATGCAAATGCTTAATATCTAGACACTTCATCTGTCTTCTTTTAGTGTACTACATGTAAATTAAATTGACTTACTCAAACATCCCTTATAACTACTTGTTATGCTTTTATTTTCTACTAAACTTTGATCAGAACTTGTATTATTATTGTTATTAATACCACTACATTGAATAGGGAAAGTAAAGACTGCTATGTTAAAACAATATTTTGATATGGTTTTTTTCATAGACACTATCCATGACACAAGAGTAGATTGTCAGAGTTATTAAAGGTGAGAATTTCTGACCGTGCTATCGACTGGAATCTATAAAATGCATATTTTGAAGATGCTTTACTCACTAAAATTTTTGTTATTCTCAATGGCATCAGTAATTTTCATTACGAATAACAATGACAGTTGTTGAATGTTCAATATACATACATAATGAAACTGTTTTAATTTTGTTTTTATCTATTTTAAATAATACAAATTTGTGTGAATTAACTTAAAACAAGTTTAAAAATCTTCCCTTCTACTATTACAGTAGACTTATTTTAAACTCATTGACTATGTGTATATTTGATATTACTGTACTAATTTTTCCGTTATTGTCAAATTGTCGTTTCGTGATTCTTCTCCCTGTTTTTTCTTTTCATTCTATTTTCTATAATTCATATCATACGACAAAATATTTGACAACCATGACAGAAAATCTAGTTGCGAGATTGTTTTTTTTATTTTCCAGTTTTTAGCACTGCCTAAGAGTAAATTTTTATCTTCCAACCCATATTACTTTGTTAATTTTTATACAGTATTTTATGCCTACATATTTTGGTTTGACGCGAATTTCTCTTCACCTTTTATTTGATTGATTATGTAATCACCTAACTATATTAAGTTCAAAATAAGACTTGTTTTTGAAAATTTGTTTAGATCCTTTTCTATGATTACTACTTTTTTTAAAAACAATTAAGGCTTTTCATTCTCATTATTTCTTGTATGACCTATTGAAATAATATGTTCATGGGATTATTTATGGTCAGAGTGATATTGTCTTCCTTATGACCTTACCTCCCCCCAACCGTTGACTTTTGTCTTTTATCTGAATTGTTTATTTTTAAGTTCCGTTTTATCTTCTGTTGCTTTTTCCTTACATATGACTTCAAAAATAGTCATTGCTACGTTTCCAGTATTTTGATCTGTCTACTCAGCTATTGAGTGTAATTTACCTGTCAGTATATTTACAGGATGAAAACACGTTAAAAGATGTGGCGGAAAAGAAATCATAGATAAATAGGGAAAAAGTGTTGCAAAAGCCAGAAGAATAACAAAGAACAAAGCTGATTCGCAATAATAAAAGTGAAGAGACATCAAAACAGATAAACAAAGACGAATAATACTTATTTTTTGCTGAAAAACATCTACTTTTTAAAAATGTTCTTGTTTTTTTTCTTCGTTAATACATGTATTTGATTAGCGAACCATACGATTGACACGCTAAGGATTCTTGTCAATACTCCTAATAGGACACATTTTAATGAAACATTAAAACTGAATAACTAAGCAAATGGCTAACAAACTGTTGATAGGATAAACATCAGGTTATTTATATTTTCAGAAAATCCATAAATTAAACAAGAGTTATAGGGTTCCTAACTTATATATTTAGCATACTGTTTCACGTACCGATTTCTAAAACTTACACTATTTTATATAATGTAAAGTAAAGAATCATTTTTATTTATCGGAAATCGGTAAGATTTTATACTTTTTCTAAGATAATTCCTCTTTATGTTTGGATGCTAATTATGTCAGAAGTCCATGTGGATTCAATTTATATGATCCAGGTGCCTAAATGGATACAGTTATTAATTTGGAAGCTGTTACCTTTCGGAATCAAATCTACAGTTCTACTGTTTTTTCCAGTAAAACTTGTTATAAAAGTTGATGTATTGTTTTGCCTTACTTATGGAAGTACTGAAAATTTTAAATATTAAAGTTTGAAATTAGCTACGTTTCTACATTACCCAACGAGTGTACTTAATTTGTGATTTTTAGCTGTTCCGTTTGGTATTTAAGACTTTTAAAGATGTATCTGAATTTTGTCGCAATTAATTGTGCTAGAGTTGTGAAAAGTCTTACGAAACTGGAAAAACAAGGCAGTTGATTATTATTTCGGATTTATATTAAGTTATTTTTTAGTTAAACAGATTTTTCCATTGGAAAGACTGAAACGTGATAACACGTGAATAGTTTCTAGGTACTTTTGCCTAGAAAAACGAACTCTTGGAAAAACCGTTCTGTGCAATATCGTTCAGAGTTCTTCTGATGATACAAATACTCTCGACAAATGTAGCATCCATTTGCGTTTTAAGCTGTCCACAAGCCTAGAAATTTACACATTTTGATCACTTCTATTTATTTTTGGCTTCCCGTAGCAGACATATTCAATGATACCAAAAGTGACGAGCTTATTCATAGAATTCGGTAATACGTTAATCGGATCCGAAGAAGGAAAATCTTATTCCTGAGGTGTTGTTTGTTTGCTGGATTACGTAAACGGATAAAACAACACGGTAGATGTTTAAATTACTGTGATGTAAATATGGCTATTTTGAGTGTTTATTAACTAAAGAACAGAATTATTTCCGTCATTATTACGCAGAAATAAAGGACATAAGTACATGATTTAGCAACCTGCCTAATATAATGGAACTCATCGAACATTTTTTTAGCAATTAGCTGCAGGTATGAATTACCTGAAAAAGGATGTGCTTATGCAATTACTTTTTGGTGACTAAATATTTACACATTTTTATTTTTTCATAACTAATAAAAAGGAGAGTGGATTTATCCGAACATCTCTTACTGGAGTAGATGAAATGTCTCAATCTGCAGTTGTACACCAACAGACAAATTATAAACGGACTCTTATAAATCATAACATAGTTTACCGTTAGGTATACTGTTGAGCTTTATCGAAATAAGTATCTAATCTAAGTTAGACCACCAGTGAAAACCTATAATCATCAGTTGACCATTTTATCCTAGTATAGGATTCTTAAGCAGTGTGAATCCACGACCCCGCTTTTGCAAACAGGATCTGGGATCCTCTATCTCGTGTTTGAACACTTAAAATTTAGGCCATGTGCTCACTAGCGACTACCTCTCTGGAGTCTTAGTGAGAGACTGTGACCAGTGGAGCTAAACCGTATCGAGCATGAGACATTTACCCACCAAAGACAGTGGGAGATGGTCATTCAAATTTTTGGACTGATCAAAGTTAAAAATTAACACTGTTGGATGCCTATTCAGTGGTCTAGATGTTAAGCTTTAGCGCGCGGCCGTGGATACGCACTGCTGAGAACGTCCAATGGTTCTAAGCTTTCGATGGTTGTCTAACTAAAATTGGTTCATTATTTCAGTGTAATGATTTACATCTTAATGTTAATAAAAATATATTTAGTACAGATTTAATGGGCTAAAACCCATAAAACTATTAGCTCTTGCAATGTTCGCATAATTGAGAGCAAATTGAAAAATATGCTTATTATAAGGCTGTACACAATTTTATTAAAACTATTTGTTACCAGCTAAAGTACGTATTAAAAGAAACCATTTCAAAGCATCTAATATTGATAACTATTTTCTTAGACTTTGTTTTTGTAGATATTACTTTGTTAGCACTAAGTAGAGTTGGTGTACAAATACTTCAGATAAAACTTTAGGTTGCAAATATACAAAACTCATTACTATGCAATGAATAATATAATTACATCATTGATATCTTCGTTATATGTTTTAACTTTAAAATCTAAACATAAAGATTCGTTAACACGACCTTGTTGGAACTTCAGGTTGTAAGCGTACACCGCTGACATAAAATTTCACTGTATTATCTCATTCAAATATTTCGCTAACCAACTTAAATAAATTTATTGGATAACTGAATTATTCTCATATTCTGTAGAATGGAAACTTGTAAAATTCTGATATTTAAGAGATAAAGATGAAGAGTTAAACCGATTTTAATGTAAAACTAAAATGAACTCTGTTTTCATTTCTCACTTTTTCTTGCTTTTTTTCTTTTTGAAAATAAGAGCAATAAAAACATATAACTTGACAATTAAAGAACATTTACTAATGGTTCTTCAGACAATTGATGAAAGAAACATACAAACATGCTTAGTAATAGATAAACCATGATAACGAACAATAAGTATGCACCAAATCATTAACTATTGTGTATTCATTTTGTTTTGTTTTAAAGAGTAGTCAAGATAGAAATTTGAAAAAGCCAAAATCAATGAAGTGTTTCTCTTCTGTTCACTGCTTATACTTGCAATAAACTACATGATTGAACATGTTAAATGTTTTTGTACATGTGAACATTTATGTTGAAAAGGTATGTATGTTGAATAGCTTAAAGGTGTGGTGTGGAGATGATGATGATTTTGATGAAAGGCGTGTATATGCAATTTAAATACGAGGCTCTTACAATATATATCGTTTTAATACAATAAAAAAAGAGAAGTGGAAGCTAAATGTTCATTTAACTCACAGCAATAGTGAGTCAATTACTTGGTTACTAGTGAAGAGTCATCATAAGTACTAAATTTTCAAGAAAAGACAATACAATGTCTAAATTTAAGTTTTTTTTCACGGGTTGATGAAACATGAGACAGTTATTTTATGCAATCAATAAAATTGAACCAGTGATTTTTATATTAAAATCTGGTGTTGCAGGCACTAGAAATCAGTGGGTTTAGGCAATGACTGACGTAACGTTGACCACGGTTCGAGGCACTTTTATTATTGAATTTGCTCGGAAAGTTTAATTTATGTAAAATAATGAGATCACCGACTGACTGACTGGAATAAACATTAAGCAAAAGCGCATAAATATCTTCGACATTAATTTGTTAGCGAATTATTATTTTGCCGGAAATACGTAACAATGTATGTCAAGGAAAAATTCAACAAAACTAATTTTAATCACGCTTACTTATAAATAGTTTAAATACTAGCCATGTTCAGTTAAGTATTCTGCAATACAAAACTGTTTCCGTGCTTTTCATCATGTTCCTCATATAAAAATTATTAAGGTTTCAAACATACTGTTTAGTATTTATTAACAAATTATAATAAATTGTTTGTTTTTATGCGAATCCTATGTATACCGTTTCCAAAAAACGGGAGCTAAATATTTACAATGTGATCAAACAAAATTATCTTGTATTTAAGAACTGGAAATGAATGAAGTTTTGAATTCATCGCGTAGTAGTAAATACGATAATTTTTATACAGTACGAGGAATCACTGACACTGGTATTGAGGCATACATGACGTGAGGAATGAAGCATCATGTAGCGATTTGGATAGAACACAACACAAATTTTTACTGTTTGGGAAAGCAGCCAATAAAGCCACAATTGTCTGTGAAGGTATTGAAAAAATCTCAAATCATAAAGGATATCCGTCTTATGTTACATGATGAATTACAAAATTCTGGGTCGATATTGTCTTTTTCTGTTAAAACTCATGTCTTCAAATGAATAACATTAAAATGTTGAAGAAGACATTGAGATTGTATATTATTAACTAAGCGATTTAGATTATCTGTTTTCATTGATGGTTTAAGTAGCAGCAGTGTTCCTTGACTCTGCCACATATACTATTTATCTATGTTAACTGATTCTTGTTATTGATTATTTAAATTTTTCAAGTCCAAAATATTACATTCAACTGGCGGAGATTTCTAATAAGCATCTTTAGTAAACATATAACCTTGTCAAAAACATTTTCCGCATAAAAACTAGAAGCTATCATTATTAGTATTTTAAAGTCCTTTTTTGATTATTCTGAACTATTACACACACTATCGCTCAAGTGCAGGTCCTGGAATGTACGTTTTGCGGAATACTAATAATCGGTTTTTCACCTGCCTGATCTGTGCATATGATTCTTAAGAGCACCATCGTGTGTAATTCTTAATGTGGTATATTTATTGTTCAAGTGATTAGTTTAAAACGTCCTTTTGTTTCCTGGCTTGCCCCTGTAAATAATCGCTTTACGCTTTTCCAAAATGTTTTCCTTTTTTAACCCTAAAAGTCGATTAATACTATACGCATCTAGGTGCTATACAAGCATTTCGTCCGACATTACACAGAACATAAGTAAAAATAAACCCAAAAATTATTAAGTATATAAGTGATAAGATACAAGTGGGCTAATAAAGAGATTCTTATTCTGTGGCTACAACATATATTACGAACATTAAGCAATTGCCTTTTCAGAAGATTATTGGTTTCTGAAACAGGATTAGGTTAGATGAAAGGCATTGACAGCCAAATGAAGACATGGAATTAATACAGAAAGTTGACAAAACAATTGCAGTTCATGATGTTAAGAGTTATGTTCAAAAATCTAT